AAGTGGAAGCGTTTAGTAACGCGGTTAATGTAGTCGAACGTCTTCATGATCCAACCGATCCAAGTACAGAACGTACGGCACCTCCATGTTCAGCATGCGTTCAGTACGATGACGTCCCTCGAGCTCTTGATCCAGTAGAGGGTCGAGGGAGAGTTCCGTCAGCATGATGGTGTGGCGACGGTGATGATGAAGTTACCGGTGCAGGGCTTCGCCTAAGCACTATGACGATACGACCGAGGTGTTAAGCTGTGAAGGGGGGCACCACACACGGCTAAGAGATTACCTGTTGTGTCTTTGGGGTGCCCCCTGCTCACGAATATAAAGGAGGGGAGGAGGAGGCCGGCCTGCCCTAGGGGGCGCGCCAAGAGAGGGATTCCCACTAGGTCTTCCTAGTCCTAGTAGGATTCCTCTACAAGGAAGAGAGGGGGAAGGAAGGAGAGGGAGAGGGAGTAGGAAAGGGGGATGCCGCCCCCTTCCCCTAGTCCAATTCGAACTGCCAGGGGGGCGCGTGGCCAGCCCCTTGCAGCCCTCCTCTCTCTCCACTAAGGCCCATGAAGGCCCATTAGTTCCTCTCGGGGGTTCCGATAACCCTTCGGCACTCCGATAGTTACCCGGTACCTCTCAGAACTCATCCGGTGTCCGAATAACATCGTCTAATATATCATTCTTTATGCCTCGACCATTTCGAGACACCTCGTCATGTCCGTGATCTCATCCGGGACTCCAAACAAACTTCGTCATCAAATCACATAACTCATAATACAAATCGTCATCGAACGTTAAGCGTGCGAACCCTACGGGTTCGAGAACTATGTAGACATGACCGAGACACATCACCGGTCAATAACTAATAGCGGAACCTAGATTCTCATATAGGCTCCTACATATTCTATGAAGAACTTTATCGGTCAAACTGCATAACAACATGCGTTGTTCCCTTTGTCATCGGTATGTTACTTGCCCGAGATTCGATCGTCGGTATCATCATACCTAGTTCAATCTCATTCCCGACAAGTCTCTTTACTCGTTACGTAATGCATCATCCCGCAACTAACTCATTATTCACATTTCTTGCAAGGCTTATAGTGATGTGCATTATCGAGAGGGCCCAGAGATACCTCTCCGATACACGGAGTGACAAATCCTAATCTCGATCTATACCAACCCAACAAACACCTTTGGAGACACCTGTAGAGCATCTTTATAATCACCCATTTACATTGTGACATTTGATAGCATACAAGGTGTTCCTCCAGTATTCAGGAGTTGCATAATCTCATAGTCAGAGGAACATGTATAAGTCATGATGAAAGAATAGCAATAAAACTTAGTGATCATTATGCTAAGCTAACGGATGGGTCTTGTCCATCACATCATTCTCCTAATGATGTGATCCCGTTCATCAAATGACAAAACATGTCTATGGTTAGGAAACTTAACCATCTTTGATTAATGAGCTAGTATAGTAGAGGCTTTACTAGGGACACTCTTTCGTCTATGTATCCACACACGTATCAAGTTTCCGGTTAATACAATTCTAGCATGAATAATATATATTTTTCATGATATAAGGAAATATTAAATAACAACATTATTATTGCCTCTAGGGCATATTTTCTTCAGCGTATATCTCCTGCTGGATTGATACCTTGGTTCTTAACTGAGGGAAATACTTATCTCTACTTTGCTGCATCACCCTTTCCTCTTCAAGGGGAAACCAATGAAAGCTCAAGAAGTAGTAGTCTCACATCGATGAGGCTAATCAAGGGGCTATGGAGATGCCCATCAAGTGATGTCAATGCAAGGAGTTGGGACTGCCATGCAACAGATGCACTAAGAGCTATAAGTGTATGAAAGCTCAGAAAAGAAAACTCACAACAAGAAATATGTCAACTTGTGACCTTGACTATTGGTCACTGAAAGGTCATTGTTTCTCATTTGCAACCTTTTTGTGACCAAAAACAGAAGGTCAAAAGCTGGCGGTCGTAAACTGACATTCACGACCTTCTCTGTGAGAAGGTCGTAGACGTTTATGACCAAAATACGTCTACTGTGGCGTTTCGGTCACTAGCAACCTCCCCAGGCCACGTAGGCATCCAGCGTGGCAATCTGATGTGGCACAAGATTCAGCCTGGTCCAATTCGATTTTCTACATGGGCCTAGCCCATTTAGTATTTTTTTCATGTTAATTCTGGTCGGCTTCATGGGCCACGCCCTACAATTTGGACTTTTAATTTTCTGGGCCATGGCCCTTTTGCAAACCATTTCATTAGGCCTTTTTGTTCGGGTTTTCCAGAAATGCACAATGTTCCAGTCCACTATTATTTGAGTTGTAGCCTTTTTAGAGCCCATATATTATTTGGTCCAATAGAACATTTGGTCTCCTTATTCACTGATTTCCAGTTTACCCATTTGAACAACAAACACTAAATAATTCTCTCAATTAAATGATTAAATTCAAAAATCATTCATCCAAATACACACGACAGCACATACAACTTTGCACGTCCAACATCATCTAAAACAAGCAAAAATAGATACACAAACACATACAAGTGTGCTTACAAGCAAAAACAGATACACAAGCACCAAAACATGATGCAACATCAACTAAAGATGTGGTGCGCATCTCCAGCCTGTTCTGATCTTCCATCACAGCAGTAGCAACCTAAACGACATTAGGTCACCAAAAAGAAACATTATTAAATGTTTAGAAACAAGGCCATCAACATGAGGCGGTAATCCAACTTAACACTTTGTGAGGAGCGGCGCCACCAGGAGAATGCCAATCACCCAAGGCGCTCCAGCCCAGGGGCGACATGTGGGAGCTAGAGATGCCAATGGAGTACATGGTCAGCCTCTGGTACCTGGCTACAGTTCACAAACTTGGTGTGAGCATTTGTTATGACATTAACATGCAACGCAAGCAAAGATGGCATGACTGAACCTTGCATAGTAAAAACTTGCAAGTAAATAAGAACAATGCTGAGAAGATAAAACATGCACATTTCAGCCTAGTTAAAACTGAAAATTACAGTATGTACAATTCTCATTCATGGGTAGATGCAATGCAAGATGAACTCATTACATAAGGGAGAAATTTCCGCCGGAGAGCAACAGTAAAGTCAATATGCGTGCAGATATCACCATCGATCTACTAATCATGCAAAGTTCCAAGGGTTAAGATATGATTTCACATCAAAAAGCTAAAGAAGATGGTCCAACTGACAACAGGTACGCATCAATGGGCATGCAGGCTCACTCGTGCCTTCCCGGAAGGTTGTGATAATAAACATGAAAATCCAAACTTAAGTTAATTGTGAAAAGGTCGAATGGATCCAAATAAACATGCAATTCACATAACTACATAAAACAGTACCAAACAATATGAATGCAGATATCATCACTGACCAGCATTTATTCATGCAAAGTGTTGCTGATCTAGATATGGTTTCACATAAGAAATATTCAGAAATCAGTTGAATAGAATTGACTACAAAAGAAATCAGAATTGAACAGAATTATATTGCTTGTCTACTTTCAGGAAAGTTAATACATATTTCCATGCTTGTTTATCAAATAAATTGTATCAACTTAACACTTAGTCATGCATAAGTGTTTCACATAAAAAACATACAGAAGTGCAGACTCAAAATTGTATGAACTGAGCACTTAGTCATGCAGAGATACAAGTACTACAGGTTTCTCTAAGGCTTAGAATCGACCTAGCGTGTCACAACAGACATATTAGTACATTTTGTTGGTGATGCAAGGAAACAGACAGCACTATGTACCACATCTAGAGAATTATGCCCAGTTCACTTCATTTGGAGTTAATAAACTCAATAATCTATCACTGGCAGTAAGACACCACTACTACAGTACAGTACTACTACACACGTGTACTAACTAGTAAGTAATAGGATACACACAAGTAACTAGGTGTAGTAGTAGAAGGGACCTAGATAGTATCCAAGACACATATTGCTAGTAAATTGTTGTTATGGGTGAGACAAGAGAGCAGGTGGTACTCCGTGGTGCTGCTAGGAAGGGAATTATGGCCACTCGGAATAAATTAACAGTGAGTACTTCATGGAGTGTCACCAGCAGCAAGATAGCGCTACTCTTCTAGTACTCCAGCAAGAAGAATAAAGTATATAATACATAGGCATGGCAGACTTGGTGCTAATAGAATACAGGAGCAGGGAGTAGCACAGTAATTAACAAAGAAATGAACAACATATAAAATACTCCTACTAGTGTAGTAGTTAAGATGATGAGACAAAGGACAGCAGCATGCAGAGCTCCTGATGCACTGGTGTGGCCCAACTCGGTTGCACTACACCGAGGCACTGTTATTCCATCGAGCTCGACCATGTGCAGGGCTTCATCGTCGCTGTGGAGGTCCCGGTGGTCGTCCTGGTCATGGAGTGTGAGCCTTATTATTTCATTTCAGAGAAAGCGTTAAACACAAATGGCATGTATATGGATCACTGTGGAGAAGCAAACTTTGCTAATAAATATGAACAAGGCCTACTATAGCATAGCAGGTAAGGAGTTAGATTAACTCAAGTATTGGTGACTAATAGACCTATTATTTCATTTCAGAGAAAGCCTGAAACACAAATGGCATGCATATAGATCCCAAGGACAAGCAAACTTAGCTAATGAATATGAACAAGGTCTACTATAGCATAGCAGGCAAAGTATTGGTGACTAATAGACCTATATTAAAAGTAAATAGAACTAGCTTGGAAAACAACTCTATAGCACTAATATTGATGCATTCAAGTTACTACCATTCAAGTGTGCATACATACCATAATGTTCCAAGTATGCATACACATCAGTGACTACGCAATAATCAATTAAGATGCTGACACGGGGTAAGGCACGCCATGTATTCATAATGACAACATGTCAAAATATTTCTTGTGGTCAGGATTGGTAATTTAGTCTTCGCAGGATAATATCTGACTTACCCTTTGCGGAAGTAGTTTCTAGTACTCGCGGTAGAAGCGCTGTATCTCACACGCTTCGCTCTGGTGCACCCTCCCCTTGAGGGTGGGGTTGTTCTCCTGCACAAACAGCAAGCTCAAGGAGTCAATTAGAAGCTCGCATTCCTTGTCCCCAGCCAGAAGTGATAAATTGGGGAACATGGATGAATGAAGATGATGAATAGGAGGTGAGTGGTGGTAAAAATTACCCTCTTGAGCCTTTGTAGCAGCGCGGTCTTGAACTGGCGCACTCCACGGCCGCTGGAGGTGCGGTCGAGCCGGTTGGCCTTCTCAAAGGCGTAGAAGCGGCCTGAGCGGAAGCGCAAGCGCAATGAGCAAACCATGCTTGTTTTCATGGCGAGCAAATCCAACTGACGATTCGGCCTAAGTGAAGAAGTAGATCGGGGATGGGCTGGTGTTCTACTTACAGAGGTAGGCGACGCGCGGATTGCTGGCCTCGACCTCGTTGGCGACCCAGAGGATGGGCGCGATCTCGACGAGCGAGAAGGGCACCACGTCGCTGTCGAAGATGGACTCCCCCATGTTGCCGACCGTCTGCGTGCGCCGCAGCCGCCTCCCTGCGGACGACGGCCCCGCCGCCGATGGCCCCCCGGCGCCACCATCGCGCGCTTCCCCTCCCCTTCTTGCCCCCTCAAATCCCTGCGTGACAAAACCCCAAATCCGAAAGGGCGTCAGTAAATCGGCGGCAGAGAGAGTGTGCGATGGAGGAGCCTGGCGAGAGGGAGCCGCTTGCTTACCTCGAAACCCTAGGTCCGACCGGCAGCGAAGCGGAGGTGCGGGAGTGGTGGTGAGCTGGACTGATTCCACACCACATACATATATGTCACTCGAATGGATCTGGGATGTAGGGAG